GAGGTAAGTCAACCACATCCCAAGTATGATTATGTTCTAAGGCTTCAATCTCAAGATTCATTGCCTGAATCCATCTATCATCTTTAATAGCTTATGAGTAAGAGGTAGGTTCAATATCAGCTGAGAAGGATGTAAGAAAAAACTGGAAGTGAGCAGGAAGATGAGAGTAAGAAACAAAGTGATTGATAGGATAGAGACAAGCATTAGAAGTGGAAGGTAGAGGAGGGTGAATGTAGTCAGTCAACCAAATAGAGGGTTTAAGGGTTCTGTCAGACTTTCTGGGTAGTAAGGAATCATTAGGAGGATTAGAAGGAGTATGAGATGGCAGGGAAGTAGCAGGTGAAGCATTAGGAGGATTAGAAGGAGTATTAGATGGCAGGGAAGTAGCAGGTGAATCATTAGTAGATAAATCAGGAGAAGGAATGGGTGGATTATTGGATAAAGCATTGCCATCAGGAGGATTAATGCTGTTATCAGGTGAATAGTGGGATTCTGGAAGTGGTGTAGGAGCAGAATTAGGAAAGAGAGGGGAAGAAATAGAAGATGGATCAGAAGTAGCAAGAAATTTGGTTCCGGGATGTTTGAATGGGTATTGGTCTTCATGAAATACAACATCCCTACTAATTATGAACTTTTGTGCTTCAATATCATATATTATGTATCCCTTTTGAGTAGTAGCATAGCCCATGAAGACACCAGGAATAGATTTAGGAGTAAATTTGTCATGAAAATCAGGTTTGGTGGCATAACATAGGCATCCTAAGGTTCTAATGTGAGAGAAAACAGGAGGTTTACCATGAAAAATCTCATATGGTGACTTTCCATACAGCACAACACTTGGTAGCCTTTTGATGATGTAAGTGGCAGTAAGAATGCAATCCCCCCAGAATTTCAAAGGTATATTGGCCTGAAATCTTAAGGCCCTTCCTACTTCTAGGATATGTCTGTGTTTCCTCTCCACAACACCATTTTGTTGTAGAGTGTGAACACAACTACTCTGATGAATGATACCTTTGGTTTTGAAAAGATTAGAGCTGAGGGTGTTAAAGAACTCATGGCCATTATCTGATCTAAAAGCTTTAACAGAGGTTGAGAATTGATTTTCAACAAGATGCAGAAATTCAGTCAAAATGACATACACATCACTCTTTAATCTCAATAGAAAAGTCCAAGTCATTCTTGAATAGTCATCAACAAGGGTAAGAAAGTACTTGAAACCATTGTAAGTACAGACTCTATATGGACCCCACACATCCATATGTACAAGTTGAAAAACACAGCTAGATTTGGAAGTACTAATAGGAAAAGGTAACCTAGTTTGTTTAGCTAGTGGGCATACAGGACAATGACAAGTAGAGATGCAAGATAACTGTTTATTCAAATCGGGGATTTTTTTCAACACTACAATAGGGGCATGACCCAACCTTTGGTGCCACAATACACTGGAATTTGATTGAACTAAAGCAGACACATGATTAGAAGCAGAAGTAGTAGCAGGTGTTGAGGGGTTGAGAATGTAAAGACCACCTTTGAGTCTACCAATCCCCTTCACCATGCAACTGAAGAGGTCCTGAAAGACACAAAAATCAGGGTAGAAATGAACTGAGCTCTTTAACTCTTTTGTATATCTAGAAACAGAGAGTAGATTAAAATGAAATTCAGGAACATAGAGGACATCATAAAGAATTTCTGAATTGGGCAAGGTACATGGTCTAGTATGGGTGACTTTAGTATTATTTCCATTTGGTAATTGTACAGTAGGTGATTTAAGTTCAGGTACAGGGTATACTGATGATAGTAGATGCAAGGCAGAAACTATGTGATTAGAAGCCCCAGTATCTATAATCCAAGGACCTTGGTCAGTAGTAGAATTACCTGCCATATTGGCTGAGTCTGTATGTCCCTTCTCCTTGTTCAGCAGATTGATAATTTGCTGATATTGTTCAGCAGTGAAAGGCTGGACAATTGGTACAACATTCCTATGAAGCCCAGTGTTAATCTCTTCTCCAACAATCACATTATGTGCTGCAGCTGTTGACTGTTCATATGGTCCTTTTCTCCTGTTGTTGAACTTGAATCCAGGAGGATATCCAATCAACTTGTAGCAACCTTCCTTTGAGTGACCCCTCATGTTGCAGTAATCACAGTACATCCCAGCATTTCTTTTAGTTTTAACATTGAAAGCATTAGCAGAAGTTTGTGCAGCATGGTCAACATCCATAGGAGCACTCCCTAATATCCCATTTTGTATTGTTAAACCATTGTTCTTCCTCTGGCTTTCCTCCTGAATAATCATGGAGTAGGCTTGATCAAGAGTAGGAGTTGGATGCATCATGAGAATCTGGCTTCTTTGTGGTGCATAAGTATCATTTAATCCCATCAAAAATTTCATGAGTTTCTGTTGGCGTAAAAATTCAACAAATGGCCCTGACTTATCACAATCACAAGGCTCCGGAATCAAGGACTCAAATTCATCCCACAAATCATTTAGGTTTGAGAAATACACAAACACATTAGAAACTCCCTGTACCAACGAGCTTATCTCCATGTTCATATGATAAATCTTTGTTGCATTTACCTTATCAAATCTAGTTTTCAATATAATCCAGACTTTCTGTGCATTTGAAGAGAATACAATACCTTTTCTAAGTTCCTTTGCCACTGAACTCATTATCCACGATTGAACAATTGCGTTGCATCGATCCCACTGGCGCAATTGAAAGGCATTGTTGGTGTACAGGTCTCTGGTACATGTTCCATCAATAAAACCTAATTTGTTCTTCCCAAGGAGTGACATCTTCATAGATCGACTCCATTCCGAGTAATTCTCAGTTCGTATGAGCAATTGTGGAACGATCTGCAAGCCAGGTGTGTCTGAGGGATGTACATACAAAGGATCATTACAATCGATGTTTTGACTGTTTGCATGTGATGTTCCAGCTGTGTTTTCCACTGTATCATTCGCCATTGAAGACAATTTTCGAACTTTTAGGGCTCAAATTTGAGCTTGAGATGCAGATCTAAGTGAGTTTGAAGAAGGAAAAAGGGAATTGAGTTTGGGAGATAAGTCTGAGAGGAATCGAAGAAGAAGAGGAGAGATTTTGAAGATCGGAGTCTCTCAATCAGAATCGCTGAGCACCATGCTCTGATACCATGTCAAAACTATCCACAGGGAAGCCATTAGAGATCTCCAAGCTGTTAGTGAAGAAGAAGAATCTAGAGAGAGAGTAAAATGGGAGATTCTCATTCAGACTCAAAACGTATGTACAGTGACTATGTATTTATACTAATACACTTAACTAACTAACTAACAATTATACATGTGCTAATTAACTATTCTAACTATTTCTAGAAGTGTACAAGTTAAATTGCTTGCTGTACAAGCACTAGTCTCTACACGGTAAAGTTGATGTCATGTGATCAGGAGGTTACGGAGTTCGAGCCGTGGAAACAATCTCTTGCAAAAATGCAGGGTAAGACTGTGTACGATAGACCCTTATGATCCGACCTTCCCGGACCCCATACATAGCGGGAACTTAGTGCACCAGGCTGTCCTTTTTCCCCGTAAAAACCCTAGTATTAGTACCTGTGCAATATACGAACATTATAATTAATGGGAAAAAAGTTATCTTATTCTCTCGTTCTATTTTTCTAAGGTAGACACAATGCTTGGGTATCTTCCCAGAAAAAAGAAAAAAAAAAAAGATGCACGAGGATCATGATTAGAAGTAATCAACATTAGAGGTTTAATGCCCCCTTTTTCTAGCTTTTTTTCTCTTTTGGAAGGAAGAAGGTCAAATTTTTCATTAATTTGCATAAGTCCTACTACTACATCATAGCTAAATAATAGACTAATTTGAGCAATTATGTGGATTCAAGGATATATTATTCAATGCATGATTTTATGTAACAATAGCGGTGGCAGATTCTCAACGAAATAGCTTTTCTAATTTTTTTTTAAAACAGAATTGCATGATATTCTAATTGTTCTTTGACATAAATATTTTGCCTCCTATTTTAGAGATACTATGGTTTCTGAATTTTGGTTGTCGCTGTTCTTTGATAGGATATTGTTGAAAATGTTCATACAGATTTGTACTCGCCACAAGAAGCAATATTCCATAAGTTGCATTTAAACTTCAATTAATTTGAATATGTCAATGTGACTAGGAAATGATAATGTAAGGCCTAAAACTATAATAACTTCTATAAGTTGCATTCCTATCCTCTCAAAAGTATATACTCTATGATATATCACATCATGTGTTGAAACAACCTACTTTTAATTTTTGATACATCTCTTTTAGTGCTTATTGGGTATTTTCATTTCCTTTTGCATTCGAATTCTTTATGATCTCCAAAACCAAACGGTTCACTATATAATTTTCGGTTAAATATTACAAATGGTCATATAACTATGATTATTTTTCACCAAGGTCATATACTATTATGTTTTCTCACACAAATATCATAGAACTTTCAATAACTCAGAAAAAAATTATGGTGACCGAAAAATACAACATTCCAGTAGTATCCAGTAGTATTTTCGAAAATAAGAAATACTAATAAAATCTAGAATAAGAAAATACTACCGAAAAGTTGTATTTTTCGGTCACTACGATATTTGTGTGAGTTAGTTAAAATTTTATGATTTTTGTGTGAGAAAATATAGTTATATGACTTTGGTGAAAAAAATCATAGTTATATGACCATTTATGAAAATTACCCGATATTTTCCATGAATTTTCTCCCAGTCTCACTTTACACTTGTAATAATTACACATTTATTTTGCAGATATATACACGCATGTGTGTGTCTAAATATATGCATATAAATTGGCGAACCCTTCAATCAGGGAGATCACATGGCATGTTTTCTATTTAAAAATATCAAACACTACTCACTAAATCTCCAATATTTATATAACCCAACGTACGATTTTGCTCCCATATAAAATTAGGAAGTTGCCGGTCCATATTAGTGTTTTAGGTAACATATAGTTCCCTACCATTTTTATCTCATGTGACCGACCATTTAGCCTTCATTGACCTGGCATTGCTCCTCTCTATACTATAAATTAAAACTACTACCCTTTTACTACTAACTCAAAAAATTGACTCTTCAAAAAGAGCAAAAGAAATAATGGCGACAGAGCTTGTTATTACTGAGCTAAGATTGGGAATTCCAGGGGAAAAGAAAAGGGTATTTTCAGAGATTGACAGTGATCGAAATAGCAGCAACGTTAACGACGATGATGATGTCAAGTGTCACAACAAGAACCGAGTTGTTGGTTGGCCGCCGGTTTGTGCTTATCGGAGAAAGAATTATAATAGCTCTAAATTAATGTACGTGAAAGTTAGCATGGATGGTGTTCCTTTTCTTAGAAAAGTTGATTTGGGGACTCAAAAGGATTACTCTGAATTTGTCATGAATCTTGAAAAGCTCTTTGGTTGCTATGGCATTTGTAAGTTTGTTGTTTCTTCAGTTTATTAATTATGCCATGCAGAATTGCAAAACAAAAATTTACTTGATTAAGAAATATTAGACTATCAGAAACGTTAGTTCTAATTAAGTATCTTTTTATAGCAAATTAAATGTCAATTGATAACTTGTAAAACATTATAGATGACCTATTACAACTGAAATTATACTGTTAGTAAAAAAAAAAAAAAAACTTTTTGTACTATTTATGTACAATAACAACATACGCAGTGTGATCCTACAAGTAGGGTTTGGGGAGGGCAGGGAGTACGCAGATCTTACCTCTAACGCGTGTGAGGCAGGGAAGTTATTTTTAATAGACTCTCGACTCAAGAAAATCATTTTCAAAACAGGTTTGAAAAATACAGAAGTAAAAAACTATCATGAAAATGCAGAAGGGAAGGGAAGTATAAATTAGAATTAAAAATTAAAATAAGGAAAATTGAAAAGGTGATAGTGAAATTAGTACATTACTACTACAATATTTTATACTCCATTTGTTCACTTTTACTTGTCCACTATGGACTTTGCATTCCCCTTAAAAAATAATAAATAAAGTGCATAATTTATCATGATACCCATATTAATTGATGCATATTATTAATGGATTTGAAAAAATAATTTGAAATGAGTAATTAATACTATGAGTATAACAAGAAAAAAGTAATTGTCTTCTCTTTATATGCTAAAACTGACTCCCTCTGTCACTTTTACTTGTCCACTATGGACTTTGCATTCCCCTTAAAAAATAATAAATGAAGTGTATAATTTATCATGATACCCATATTAATTGGTGTATATTGTTAATGGATTTGAAAAATGATTTGGAATGAATAATTATGCTAAAGGTAAAATAGAAAATAAATTATTTCTCTTTGATATGCAAAGTGAACAAGTAAAAAAAAAAAATCTACTTTTAGAATAATGAACAGGTAAAAATAAATAGAGGAAATAAAAGTAAAAATCTATTTTCAGAATACTAGATAAGTAACGAAGGGAGTATAATAAAGAAGATATAGAAAGTGAGACAAAGGGAATAATAAATGAGATTGGTGGGAAATGTGGACAGGCGAAGTGTGAAAGAAGGAGACAGTTCAGAGTACATTCCAATATACGAGGACAAAGATGGAGACTGGATGCTTCTCGGCGACGTTCCCTGGGAGTAAGTTCACTTCTCTACCGCTTTACTAGTCAAACATATCAAAAATAGTTTGTTTTTTTACTTCTTATTTTGCGACAATTAAAATGCGAATGCAGAATGAAGGTATCTAGTTTATAAATCTAGTATTTTTAGCGCGAAATATATATTATATAATGTAAAAATAGTAGATATAGAACAATTACTTTAAAACTATAGTGGGTTCTATACTAAAAATCTTAAGATTAAATGACTCATAGTGCTTAAATACGGGTAAATTTTACAAATGGTCTACAATAATGTTTTTATTTACCACAGTCATATAACTTTGTTTTCTCACGAAAATTATAAATTTTTTACTAACTCACACAAAAATCATAGTAACCGAAAAATACAACTTTTCAGTATATTTTCTTATTTCACATTTCTTTTGGTTTTTTTTGTTTTCTATCTAATAAATAATAAACCAATTTAAATAGGAATAAACCCAAACCGTTCCACCCGACCTAATATCCATATATATAAAATTAATAATACTCAAAGTGAATCTTTCAAACACAATACCTCTATTTTTTCTTTTTCCTTTTCAAGATTTCATTCAAATTTATAGAATTTTTGTTTCAAATGCTCTCTAGTTATACCTCTTTTTTTTTTTATTAGCAGAATCTCGTACATTCCTAACTAAGTTTTTTTTTTTGTGTGGAAAGGATTAAATTTTATATTTATTTTAAATAATGTATATGGGTATTGGACCGGGTTGAGTTGGGTCATTCCTATTTAAAAAAAAAAATATAAATATGACTAGTTGACCGAAACTAATTGCATTCGCTAAACGAAAAAATATATAGAATATGTATATTACTATATGAATATAATACATACGCACATACATAATGTATATTATATATATATATATATATATATATATATATATATATATATATATATATATATATTATTTTTTTGGAGTGGCTTAAAATATATGTTTCTCCTATTTTAATTGAATTATTATTTATTAAATTGAAAATAAAAAGTAGAAAATCTTAAAATAAGAAAATACTACCAAAAAATTATTTTTCTCGTTTACTATGATTTTTATGTGAATAAGTGAAAATTTTATGATATTAACGTAAGAAAACAAAGTTATTTGATTTTAATGAAAAAAAGCTATAGTTATATAACTATTTTGGAAAATTATCCGCTTAAATCTTAGATCCGCCTTTGCTGACTTGAATATTACGACTAAACTTGTTAGAGAGAGAAGAATTGATTTAAATGACTAAAGGTTATATTTTTTCTTTTTACCAAAGAAACCCCAAATTTTGGGAAGAAATCCCTGAATTATAGGAGCAATTTTTTAAAACTGAAGCAACAAAATATTCAACCATGTATGATAAGTCCGATCCTACCAAGTTAAACTACTTAGCATAAATCAAACTCATTGATTTAAAAAATTCCAAAAATATATTCGAAGACAAAAGACTGGAAGTCTAAAGTATCCCCACATAAAAGTGAAAGGACAGTGGGAAACTGAGTTTGTACAATGATTTTCAACGGCCACATGAGTTTCTTCTCCAGAAGTCAGAAATTGCCGACAAACACGTATTTTTTCATGAAATTGTTGAATCAGACAAGAATGTCCCATAGGACAATGTATTAAGCAGGTCAAGCACTAATTATCACATTAAAAGCTTTTCTGGAGCACGTTTTCTCTTGGACTATCATTAACTCTTAGACAACTTTGCCATCTCGTCCTAGTACACAATCAATTATATTTTGAATAATTCTTACTCTCTCTTTTCTTTCTTGTGTGTATTATTTTCCTTTTATCTGATCTTTTGGTATTACTGGAAGGAGTGGAGTAACGATAAAATTGTGTCTGTGTGCATGGGGCGTAGCTAGCCCATCAGCTATGGGTTCGGTTGAAGCCAGTAGCTTTGGTTCAAACCTTGTATTTGTCTTATGAAATTTATTGAATATGTACTACTTCAATTATTAATCTAGAGCCCGATAATTTAAAAAGATTAGAACTCCGAACCCATAACCTTTAAATCCTGGCTACGCCTTTATATCTGTGTGACCTATAGGTCACGGGTTTGAGCGTTGAAGCAATTACTAATGCTTGTCTAGTATTAGAATAGACCGTCTGCATCACACCCTTAGGGTGCGGTTCTTTTCCGAACCCCGCGTTAATGCGCCTGGTCTTAATCTTTTGGTGGGGAAAAGGTAGAAAATCTAATGAATATATTAAACCGTGATTTTCAGGATGTTTACTGAATCATGCAAAAGGCTGAGGATCATGAAGAGATCTGATGCAAAGGTGATAGGGATTCGAACAAAGGACTTTCTCAAGGGAATGTCCAAAGAGAAATGAGGCTTTTGAATCACTGGATTAGTGAGAACTAGAGTGATTGACCACTGGACGAGTGGCCTCTCATTCAATCAATTACGTTACTGTTTTATGTTCGTATGTTTGTTTTGAGATATACACTACAACAAATGTAGCTGTAATTTTAGTGTTGTATAAGTATATGGTTTCCCTGTTCTAGCACCTTGTTATGAGACGATTTTATTTTTGTTGCTCTATTATTGTTATACTTTTAATCGAGAATGTGCTTAAAGCTCGCAGCTATTGTGTATTAGCTTTTAGGACATGTAACTTCTCTCCTCTCTCTCTTTTTATTTTTTTTATTTTTTTTATTTTTTTGTTTCTTTTCGTTTTTGTCACATTATATATTACTCCCTCTGTCTCATATTATCTGTCATGATTCTCTTGTACACGCCCCTTAAGAAAAATTAATTAGGATGAGATGTTGACTAATTTACCCTTATTCATCTCTTAATATTTAATCTTTTTTCATTGGTATTTGAACAAAATTAGGTGTTGGTAGTCTTCAAGGATAATTATTACTAAGGATAAAAAAAGAAAAAGATAATTAATCTTGTCTTGAACTTCTAAAGTGACAAATAATTTGAGACAATTATTTTTAGTAACCACGACTGATAATATGAGACGAAGAGAGTAGTGGTAACTTTTTTTTTTTTTTTTGGTACTAAAGATAAATATTATATATAACTAAACATGCGTACAGAGTAGTTGGTGCGGATATTGCAGCATATTACAAACCACATTTCTTGTAGTAGCACTAGGCATAGAGCCTAGTAAGTTAGGAGTACTATTAGATATTATATTACAAATACTAGGATTAGAGTTGTCCCTACGTAACCCTCCAACACTGCTTGAAATAAGATTAGGGGTGTTCACGGTTTGACGGAAAACCGAATCAAACCGATTAAGTAAACCGATATTTTTTTTGATTTGGATTGGTTTTGGTTTTAAATTTTAAAAATCGATAATATTTGGTTTGGTTTTGGTTCTATTTTAAAAAACCGAAAAATAAACCGAACCAAACCGATTAATTATATACAAAATTTAATAATTATTTATATACAATATAATATCTTTTTGTTAATAATTTTAATTGTTATTTTGAATTTTGGTTTATCCTATTATATCTTAAAAGATTGCCTAAGCCCAAAACAATAGGATTCGACCAATTTTCTTTTCATTAATAGACTCTAATTCTCTAACCCTCCGCACATACTTTTGCCTAAAAGAAGAGGTAAAAAAAAAACCACCACGAGAGTAAAGAAAGCACATTCAAATTGCAAGACAACAATGGCTAAAGCTTTAGAAAGCAACCTTATAGTTTGTTTTTTGTTCATTCTTTTCATATAAACATGTAAATAAACTTTCAGTTCTCAAAGAAATATATAAAAAGCATAAATTTGGCAAATTATTTTCAGATTGTTGTCTAGCATTGTTTTAATATTATCGACTTATCATTAGCTTACTAAGAACCGAAAAACCGAACCAAACCGAACCAAACCAAGAACAATCAAACCGATGGTTTGTATTTAATTTGGTTTAGTTTTAATTTTAAAATTTTAAGAACCGATTAAATTGGTTTGGTTTTGATTTTAATAAAAAACCGACCAAACCGAACCGTGAACACCCCTAAATAAAACTATAGGGGTTCCTTGCATGTGCTGTAGTTGTTCGCTCTTGACCATCATCTACGTTCTGTGGAATCAAATACAACGTCGAATATGTTGGGCTTAATGTGCAGGTTTCCCAGCCCTCATATTTGAAACTTTAATCTGCATCACAACTGTTTAAAAATATAGAGAGTTTTATAGTTTTTGTTGGGTTTTTAAGGTATTTAATTAATATATTAAATACTTAAAAGAGGGTGAATGGGAAATGGAGGGAAATGAAATTTTTGAGTGAAATTTTAAGTTCCCCCTCCCCTGGCAAATGGGCATTGTCCCATATTGGAAGAGGAAGAAGTTTTTTATGGGTATATAAGCAATTGCTCTTCTTCTAGCTCTTAAAGAGTTGAGAAGAAGGCAAGCCTCGCGTCGTCGTCGTCGCTCGCTCGGCTCGGCTTCGGCTTCGGCTTCGGTCAAATCATTGATTGATTAACTTTTTGGACCAAATTTATTTGTTAATAGTAAAAGTAACTACCCTCTTTAATTTTCCCTCTTTATTTTCCCTCTTTATTATTGAGTAAATGGCCATTTATGTAATGGCATTTATGTTGTGGGCGTTTTGCATAAACAGCCATTCTGAAGAGACCCAACTTTGGCTATAAATACAACACTATTCTGCTCAGAATTTTAACTACAATTTTCTGAGTTTCCTCTCCTTCTTCTGCATACTTTTAGCATCAAAACAAAGCAAAAAGTAAGTGTGATTTGCTACCGAACTTTGTGTTCGCTGAAACACTGGGGTTTGAAGTACCACTACACCAGTGTGTAATTCGTTCTATCCTGGGAGGAAATAATCCATAACCTTGGGTACTAGGAGGGGATTAAATTCCTTAAGGAAACACTGTGAATTCAGTGGGCTCGAATTGGTTTATGTCATTTCTGTTTATATTCATTACTGTTTATATTCATTTATATTTTCAGAATTTATTTTACAAATACAGTGTAATAACAGTTTTACCCATAAATATTAATTAATTATCCTTGCCTACTTATTTATTTTTCTACCCATCAAACTAATTACCGTTCATACCCATTGTAGTATTTGTGGGTAATTGCCTCTTTTTTCTCCTTTTCTTTTTTCTCGTTTTTCTTTATTCTTTGCTCTCTTTTTTTTCTCCTTTTATGTTTATTTTTCAATCATATTATTTTTTATTTTCTTTTTCCATCATAATCTGATTCCTTGCTCAATTTTGGCTTTTCCAATATTTTTCCTTTTATTTATTTCTTGTTCCTTTTCTAATTTCATTTAATTTTTTTCAGTTTATTTCCTTTTTTCTGCATGATCTAATTTTATTCACTGTTTTTGCTCCTTTTCTTTATTTTTTTTCCGTGCAATAATAAAAAGATAATTAATATAGCAAATATTTGTTCAGCTTTTTTAATATCATTGATATAATATATAAGTCTTACTTTTCCCTTCTTTTTTTTTTTTTTTTTCTGTAGATCAGTTATAAGAACACTTATACATTATACATGTTTTCTCTTCTCCTTTTTTCCTTTTTTTCTTCTTTTTTTCTTTTCTAATTTCATTTATTATTATTTTCAGATTATTTTTTCTTTTAAATTTATTTCATAATGTAATTATGCACGTCTTTTTTACTCCTTTATTTTTGTTCCTTTTTATTTTTTTCTCTATTTTTTCACTATATCAACAAATTATAATTGATATTATATATTTTTAATTTATTTTATTTTTATGTATTAATTATTAAAAAATAACTTATTGTAGCATATAGTATACCAAAAATAATATATTACTCAAGTATATTATTGCAACATACTATGACACCCATAAAGTATATATCATATACTGACAGGGTATTATAGAGGACTAGTCATTTCTTCACCAAACAAAATACTCATCAGTCCTGTATGATATCCACATGATATATGTCAAATACTAACATAGTATCATATAGGTCTGGTTCACTACTTCCAGAAAGACACCCAATCCTCTATGATACCAACCTGATATATATCATACACTGACGCGGTATCATAGAGGATTTGTTCATTCTTTAAAAAAATCATCAGTCCTTTATGATACCCATATGGTATATATCATATACTGTCAAGGTATCATATAGTACTAGTTTATTCTTTCAAGAAAATTAGCAGTGTATTGTTATAATTAATGATANCGTCGTCGTTCGATCAAGGAGTATAACATGTTTGTATACAATACAACTTTATCTTCTTTGCTAGTTCTACTTAATTTTGGCCCAAATTCACAAAATCTACTCCGAAAATCTCCACCAAACTTACTCAAAATGTAGCCATAGCCTTCAATCAACATTTCGAACATGACTCGGTAAAAATTTAATCAAAATAACTATAGAGTGAGATTTTTCCTATTATTTTATGCGAACATTGACCCGCAATAAGTAGCACCTGCTGGTGGTCATTAAGCAAATAGCTAATGTTTAAAATAGATAATTTTGATTAAGTTTGGCTAAGTTCGTTCTCTTGTTTATCTGTTCAACATGATGAAAGCTTGGATCAATCAAACCCCTAGAATCCAGTGAAAAGTTTACAATGTCACATGGTATTGGCCTAGAAGAGCTAACAAATGAATATATAAAAAACGAAGTAGTATATATATATATATATATATATAGGTTCATGCATATCGGGTAAAATGGCAAGGTTCCTGTATATCAATCCAACTCATTCCCATGCATTATGTATCTTTCTCTTGGGAATATGAAATACAGATGAACAATGAAAGTTTCCACTATAAGCATAACTTAATTTAACGCTTACATGCATGCCCAGACTTCTAATGCAATCCAAAAATTTATCAGTCAAACATTCATTTTTGAATAAGTAATAGTAGTTACTCAGTCCCAATTTATGTGATGTATTTTTCTTTTTAGTTTATTTTTAATATTCCTATATTTAAAAATAATTTAATTTCAAACTTCTTATTTTATATTTAAAAAGATGATATATAATCACATAAATATCTATGGATTATTCTAGACCATAAGTTTCAATTTTTTTTTCTTTGGGATAAATTTTATGTCCAATCAAAGTGCATCACATAAGATGAAACAAACAAAAGTAATTATTTCTAAAGGACTCGAGAAACCATGGGAAACTTGTAAACCATGTTCTCAGGTCAAGTTTTCAGTTCTCATGCATGTCCAACGTGAATTAGGGGTGTAATACATTATAAAAGTTGAAACAGATAATCAAGAATATAATATTAATTATTCAGTAGAATAATGTAATCAAGAATATTATGGGGTATTCAGTTTATTGCTAAGATCGATTTAGGTTCTTCAGTAGATGCATAATTTAGTAGTAACGTGTACTATTCTAAATATATACCAACCAACTAAACTGCCATCCATTATCTCCTCACAAATACGTCCGACAGAAGGCATTCTTGTGATTAATGTTTAGGGAATAACATGCTTTTAATAATGCTTTTTTTTTTGTTAATCTTAAATGGGATTCGGTTAATTGATCCATAATCACATGATTAAGACTATGTTCTGCTAGAAACTGTGAATTGTGTAATTTGCACTCATTCTCTTTTTCTTCAACTGCAATAAGTACTTCTTGCCTATTTGC